GTGGGCTATTAGGTCTCCACTAGATTTAGCATTAGGAAATTTTAAAATTAGATTATAATTAATTAAAATTTAAGGATTTTAAATGATTTTTATCACCACCGTTGATTAAAATCAATTGGATTTTTATCAATTATAATTCATATAAACTATTGCTATTGATTATAATCTTTTAAATTGTATCGATTTTTATCATTAATGATTATTATCAATTTTGATATAAATCAATTATCAACACCACTGTCGGTTATAATCGCTTAAAGCCAATTAATTATAATTGATTAACTGTTTGCAACTGATTAAAATCAGGCTTTAAAATTTCCTGATAAGTTTAGCTATATACGATGTAGATATATTAGTGATGGGAAACACTTTTTTCCATGTGTTATATTTTATTGCACTAATGTGAACTGTGGGGGGGTGAGATGGGGTTATGGCATTATATGGTTCAGTTATTAGTTTATTTTGATGCATACCTTTACAGCGTTCAAGCCATATTTGTTTGTAAATGTTATTTGATATTTTATGTAGCACTTTGATAAATGTATCGTTTGAAGTTGAGGTGATTGATCTAATATTTTCTGGGATTAGCCCTTGCAGTAGTGGAATATTAGATATATTTATACTATTTGTAAAGAAAATTTGTGCTAATGCTGCTGGATCTGGTAGTTGAGTATTCTTTTTTGTGCATTGTTTTGTTACTGTTTGTACTATTACTTGATGTAGTGATGTTGGATTGCCTGGGCAGATCAGCCAGTGGGTATTGTCCTCAGTTGCTTGAGTGCATCTGTTGCAGGTTAGGTTTATATATTTTTTTGGGTGTCGATAGTGTAGGTTGAGCAGTGTTGGTAATTCATCTAGTAGAAATTTATTTTTGAAATTCTTCTTAAGTGATAGTTTGGGGTGTGTAAATCTTGTATGTGGTTTATTGTTATAGTTAATAAATTGGTGAGTGCTATTCCAGTTTGTATTTGATCGTATATTATGCCAGTTACTCATTCTGTTGAGAGAGTGCCATTCAGCAGTGTTTTTTGCATTTTGTAAGTGTCAAATAAAATGATGAGTTTTATGTTCTACTGGTACATTGTTCCATGTAAGATAAAAGTTGTTGTTGTCTAATGTAAATAGCACTAATTTAATTTTGTGCAGCTGTGGCAAAGCTGCTAGTTGTATGGTTTTTTGAAAGAGTGGGTGGTTTGTCCTGTGATCTATGTGGGTAAACTTGATAGTTAGGCGCTTTCGAGCAATTATAGTTTGAATAAGCTGCTTGAGAGGCCAGTAATTGTGTTTCTGGATAAGAAGGTTGAGATTGTATAAATATTGAATAACTGAATTAACATAATTTATAGTTGGCTTGTGAGGAGTAAGTATATTGATCTTGCTGTTTAGAGAAGCAATTAAGAGGATTGATATAACTCCAATTAGATATGCTCTAGTAGTGGATGGCCAGTATATTATTGTGGCTGAAAAAGAGATATTGGTTGGTGAAAGTGTCCAAGCAAAGTTTGCTTGACTATCTAAAGTATTTAGGTTTGATGTGTTGGCATATAAGTATATCTGTAGGTTTTTTGTTTGAGAGTTAATTTGGCTAAGATGAGAGAGGTGTGGTAAAGCAGTATCTGTGATAAATAGTTGGTCTAGTAAGTTGTTAGAGGTAGTTGGGGCAGATGCTATCTTGTTCTTAATTGGTTGGTATATATATTTTTTCTTAGATGGATTAAGCTTTGGGTGGTGTTGTAACAGATCATCAATATCTGTACAGAGTTGTTTTGTACTAGTTACCTTAATGGTAATACATTGGGTAGTTAAAAGAACCATAGTACAGTGTTGATATGTGTTTATAGTCTTTGTATAAATGCATAATTTACATTTAGTTAATAATGTGTTATTAGTATTTGCAGTTGGTGAAGGTAGTAGCCAATGTGTGATTTGTAGCTGATTATTTAGCATATTTGTTTTTGTTACATAATCTATTATAGCTTGGTTATTGAGTTTACAAAGTATCCATGACCCGTGGGTAGGCACTATATTGTTTATTATAAATGGATTTGGATTGATTGTTGAGATAAAAGGTGTTGCTGGGTCCTGAAGTATATTGTTTAAGGTACTAAACCATTTAGGTATATGTCCTGGTATTGTTTTATTTATCTTATATGGCAGGTGTTGCTATTGGAGAAAATATATATTGTTATGGTTAGTGAGCTGTTCTATAGTATAAATTTTTGCTTTGTTGGTGTGTGTCTTAATATAGTGTGGTTTTTTGAAGTATTGGATTAGCATATCAATAGGTGTTCCAGGATGTGTTATGCAAATCGGCCAAGGATTGGGTGAGTTAAAAATATAAATATTAAGTTTGTGTGCTGCATATATAGTTTGTGCTGTAAGTGTATTGTGATATATGGTGGGAAGAATGTTTATTGATGAATAAGTGGCATTTTGAAGGTGTTGTAGATATATTTTTATTGGTTTTGCTGTAGTGGGATTGTTAAGTTGATTGTGTAGAGCTGATATATGGTTTTGTATTTATATATCTTGTAGTTGTCTGAAGCCATATATTTGGTGATGAAATATAGTTGAGCTAGGGATAGTTGTTGCTAGCCATGCTTTATGTTTGACAATCTGAGTATATTGATTAGTTATAATGCAATTACTAGTTTCCGAAATGAATGTATTAAGTGTTTGATATGAGAAATGCAGTATGAGTACAGTGTTGATTATATAGATTGCCTGTTTTTCTGTAACTTTCTTCTTTTTTAAGGTGTTGATTAAGTTAGTAGCTTTCTGGGTGATTTGTTTGTAGATTTGTTTATGGTTGCTAGATACTGTGAACCAGCAGCTCAGATATCTAAAGTTTTCTGTTGGTAGTATACTAGGAATATTTGTATCTGCAAAAGTAATTGAAGGGTTTGGGTCTGTAATGCAGTTTGTGGCCAGGATTGATTTAGTAGGATTGACAGTGATATGTGCCATATTGTAAAAGGAGGAGGCATGATTAACAATTTTCTGAAGTGCCTCTTTGTTGGGTGCTAACTATAAGGTGTTATCCATATAGGCTAGGACAGAGGTATGGTATGTTATTGGGTGATGGCATGAAGGTTGTGTAGTCATTAAATAGCCTTGAAATTCAGAATGTATTGTAGTAATAAGAGGGTTATAATAGATGCACCATAGGAGCGGTGTAATAGTTTCACCTTAGTCAATCCCATCATATACCGGATAAGGTTGGGTTGGGCCAAGGTTCGTTATAACAGAATTTTGACGATCAGTAAGTATGTTGATGAGTAATTGTTGTATATTGTTAGAAATATGTAGCCGATTTAGTGCAGATTGCAGAAGAGATATATGTACGGAGTCATATGCCTTACTCATATCCTGTGAAAGGAGCCAAATCTCTTTGTTTTGAGTCTGCACTTCTTGTAGGATGTTTGTAAGGATATGGATTGGTTGTGTTGTAGATGTATGTGGAGTTGCTACGAAGTTATTTGGGTGAAGTATAGGATATCGTGTCATGATTTGGCTAAGCCGATTTGTGATAATTTTGGTAAAGATTTTATGTATATGCTTGATTAATGTTATTGGTCTTGTGTGATTTAGTTGGCCAGTGAATATAGGTTTTTTGGATATAGGATATATTTTACTATATTTCCATATATTAGATATACTTGAAGTCTCTAAGCATTTGTTAAATAGAATTGTCAGTAGTTTAGTGACATAAGGATGAATATGTTTAAGCATTTCGTTTGAAATTAAGGATGGTCCTGTAGCCTTGTTGTTAGGAGATTGATTTATTGTTTGGGTTACTTCCTCTAAGGTAATGGGTTGTGCTAGTGTGTCATACCAGGATATATTGATATATGGTTGCGGTATATATTTCTGTTTCCATTGTTCCCAAAGTATAGAGTCATTTGTGTTGTGTTTTGTCCAGTTTTTAAAGTGGCTTCGTATGTGATTTCAGATCTCATAGGGATCTGTATTTGGTAGTTTAATATTTTGAA